GGATCTGAAAATGATCTTGAACAGAAAAATAGGTGGACAAATTAAAATTGGACAGTGTGCACAGTTGGGACAGTAGTAGTAGTTTGCTCAAATCCGGATGACAACCAATCTTCCTGCATTTTAAACTTCTTGATGCTCTGTGCCTTCTTTCCTTCTACAGGTATAGAATCGGTTTGTCTCCCGATTTTGTACTTTTTTAAAGGAAAAAATGGTCAAGTATTATTTGAATTGTGCCACGAGGTACAAAATCGGGAGACAACCCGATTCTGTACCTGTAGAAGAAAAGAAGGTACAGAGCATCAAGAAGTTCAAAATGCAGGAAGATTGGTTGTCCCCCGGATTTGAGCAAACTACTACCACTGTCCCAACTGTGCACACTGTCCAATTTTAATTTGTCCACCTATTTTTCTGTTCAAGATCATTTTCAGATCCATCAAATAAACATTTTCTATAACTTTGACTAATTTCTGGAATATTCATACAAAAAATTTCTGAATTGTAAAAAGGCAAGGCGAAAATGGACGAAATCTGTGGAACAGACAAACTTTTCGAAAAACTTTTCTTTTTTCTATTAACCCTGTTCTTGTTGTACATGAAATTTGAGAAATCCGGTTTTCAGAAATGAGAAAAAAATTCTTCAAATTTCTACCGTCTTTTATGACGAAAAACACTGAAATGTGATAAAAAGAGAAAACATTTTATGAAGAAGTGTTAATTTAGATTTGAGGCGTCTATGACGGATAGAGACAAAATTGAGTAATTTGAGTCTGGGAAGATGAAAAGGATATGTTGCAACGTTGCAAAATAGTTTTTGAGAAGAAGCGAAGAGGGAACTCAAGTTTTTTAGACAGTTTGAAATCGGGAGGAGAGGAAAATATGACCGAGCAATATTCTAGAACTGGCAAGACGTAGCATTTGAAAAGGGAAATGTAGAATTCAGAAGATTTGGAGTTAAAGGATTTGAGGAGTTGTTTACAACAGAAAAGGGCAAGGGATGAGGTTGTGGCAACTGTCGGAGAATTCGGAGCTTATATTTCGGTGCCACTTTCACCAAAGTCTCCAGCGAGAACGTCTCCTCATCGGCTTTGATCCCTTTGATGAGGCACATGCTGGTTCCAAGGACTTTCTCTTGGAGCTGGTTCCACGATTCTTCTGTATCATCCTTGATGTGGAACTTGGGGACTGGAACGTACCCTTTTGATTCTTCCGGTTTGAATCCTCTTCCGGCAAAGAAGCACTTCTCCTCTTCAACTATTCCCCCTCCTCTTCAACTATCTTCTTCGTAGAGGAACTTGTTCTTTTGCTCATCAAAGTCCTCGTATCCTTTGTTTCCAGTCTTTGCAGCATCCACAATATCTTGTCCCTTCACAGTTTTTGGGTCGAAGAATGGGTTTTGGGCCGAAGAATGGCTTCTCTTCCATCCAGCGGTAATTCTTCTGGTCCGGCACCTCATCAGAGAGCTTCACGTGACAGTCTTGGCAATAAGTCTCCTGAAATAAAAAATTAGTTTTCCAGCAGTTTTACCACAATGTTTGCATTCGTGTCAAGTCACATATGTTCTTTGTTTCGAATTATCTCACAACAAACATTTTCGCAAGATGAGAAAGTTCAATTTTTCCATTTTGGGACACTTTTTACACTTTTGGAAACGGACATGTTTTGCAAAAAAACATGCTCCGCCCCCGCAACCATGCGGCGCGTTTTCTCATTTTCTCATATTTAAGTATCAGCTATCGATATATAAGGAAAATATACAAAGGTATAGCATACTGATCCAGTTTTATTACTTTTGTTAGGAGCCACTGCTGTTTTTTAGACTCACCTTCTCGAATTCACAGTTTTCGAAATCTTCAAAGTGGTACTGACATTTAGGAATACTAGAATAGCAAAAAGGAATAAAATTCAGAAAAATCAATAGGTGATATTTTTCCGACGTCCATGCAGAAGGTCGTCTGGAAGATTAGATTAGGGAAGGAATGAATACTGGTCGTAGGTACCGGACGGTATTTATACCCATGTTCTCGAAGGGGCGGAGCCAAAAACCAAGTGGGTTGGTGACATCGAGTATCACACTTTTATGAATTTAGCACCGTAATTCTTAGTTTTTATTACAGTAATCTGATCGAATGTGAAGAACTTATTCTTCCCAGAGATTACTGTATCAATCTCAAGGACATTTCTTTTGGGAAGAATTAGCTCATCACACTTGGTATTTGACCTAGATTACTGTAATGATAAACTAGATTTATGGTTCTCAAATCATCAGAGTGAGATTCTAAATGACGATTTGCTAGAAAATATTACACAAATTTTGAATCGCTTGGATTTGGATCTTTGAAACTTCAGATATAGTAATTTTTTGCATATGTTAGCTACGTATTTATGTTCAAAAGAATTGGCTTGTTTTGCTGATTCCAAATATGTAATTTTTATAGAAATTAAATTACTCTGAAATGAGATATGAAGCAAAATGTATTCCCCTTTCTGTATTTCTGGCGTGAGATACACAGACGATAAGTGCGCCCCCCCCCCCCCCCCCACCTCTATGTTTAGCTTTAGAACTTCGTTCAAACTAATCATAGTTTTATGAGAACTGGATTTTTGCAATCAGCGAATAATTGGAAATTGGATGAGTATAAATATCGTGAAAAAGTGATGCCTAGACTCTCAAATCCATCACTAAGTCGGTTCACGAACAAAATTTTTTTGAACTTTTTGAATTGTCCTTTTTAATCGATGCATAAGAAAAGCGCCAGCAATCTCCGTTGTGCGCTTTTCCTGAATTAATGGACGTGTGCACTGGATCACGGAATTTTTTAATATTCTAAAAAATTTCCAATGCTTTTCTGATTGCTCCATTTTTTGTTTTTACCAGCCTGTTTTCCGCGCCTCCGGCGCTTCAAACAGTTGGCTGATGCGCCTTCGGCGCGATTTAATCTATATCTTTTACTATTCGTCACTTCGCTCCTCTTTTTTTTTCAAATCTCAACTTGTATTCCCATTTTATGCGTACGTTAACAGAGTAAATCGAGAACAGGATAAAAATGTATATTTGAAAAAATGTGAGAATTTCAAAAATTTATAACTTTCAGACCCTGTATTTTACCGGTAAATTACCGGTAAGTTACCGGTAAATTTTCGCTAAAATTTTTATTTTCCTCGAGGACTACAGAAATGTTTTTTTCTGCTGTTTCACTAGTTTTTTGACAGTTCGCAACAGTTTTAAAATAGTCAGTTCAAAAACGTCGCGGTTCTGAAACGTCGCGCTTCAAAAATGTCGCGGTTCTGAAACGTCGCGCTTCAAAAATGTCGCGGTTCTAAAACGTCGCGGTTCTGAAACGTCGCGGCTCAAAAATGTCGCGGTTCTAAAACGTCGCGGTTCTGAAACGTCGCGGTTCAAAAATGTCGCGGTTCTAAAACATCGCAGTTCTAAAACGTCGCAGTTCTAAAATGTCGCAGTTCTTAAACGTCGTAGTTCGGTTATGTCGCAGTTCTAAAACGTCGTAGTTCTAAAATGTCGCGGTTCCAAATTTTGAAAAAAAAACAGAAAATTTTCCTAGAAATTACCGGTAGTTTTCGGTAAATTTACCGGTAAAGAACCGGTAAAATTACCGGTATATTCACCGAAACCGTACCGATAGCACACACTGCTGTAGATTTGGCTAAAATTTACATTTTTTCCCAAAATGCTTTGCTTGTTCATTCGGCCAAAAATTCGGGGGGTACAACGATTCGGGGGGTACAATGGGGTACAACTGATTTAGGGGTACAAAATTAGTGATTCGGGGGTACAAAATGCCTGGGTAAATTTTATTATTCGTTCCGTTGAGGTGAAATTTTTTATCTAAACGAAGCTGCGAACTATTTAGAGACAAAATTTCAATTCAGAAGTGCAAAAAATAAAACTTGCTAAAAAATTTTGTACCCCCGAATCATGGATTTTGTACCCCCGAATCACTAATTTTGTACCCCTAAATCAGTTGTACCCCCTTGTACCCCCGAATCGTTGTACCCCCCCCCCCATTTTTTGCCTGTTTATTCGGCGAGTTATTTATGGCGGGAAAAAAACCGTGTTTCATCAATTGGTACATCGAACAACTCTCAGAGTTATGGCAAGTAACAAAAAAGAGCATCAAAATTCATTTAACCCACAATAAATGAAATCAAACAGAATCTTCCATAAATTTAGCGATTATCAACATCATTGAGTTTCTGGACATGAGCTCGATATCCCTATAACGGATTCTCTTCATCCAGTCGTTCTGTTTCAGCATATGTGCCTGAAAATAATTTCAATGCAAAGTTCCATGTTTTTGAATTTATACCAAAAGATGATTCAAATCGTATTCAATAGCCAACTCCCAAAACATGTCATCAGAATATTCAATATAGCAGAAGCTGCGCTCATCTTCACACTCAATCATTCGCCGCTCACAATATCGACTCACATTTCGGAGTTTCAGTTTCTCAGCGATTTCGACTATTTTACAACAGTCAAAGACTAAAAACATCATAATTTTCCGGATTTCTGTTTAAAATCACCATAAAAGGACATACGGACACCATGAGCAATTTGCAATGCAATTTCAGTGTAGTCTATGTTGAAATCGCTATTTAGAGGGAGTACCCGATTTGAGAAGATCGGATCATCAACAGAAAATTTGGAAGACAAGAATTGGGAATGGAATTGGAGCAACTGAAAAATTTCAGAAAAATTAGAAAGTGCTTCTGGAACCATCTCACCGCGTTATTGCAGTACAATTCCCTTTCATAGTCGGTTCCAGATCGCATGATAACTCTCACAGAGAAATCGCGTCTGTTAAAAGGTTTATCACGAAAATTGAAGTTCCAAATTCCATTTTCCGAGTGAAAAGCCTCCAAATGAACACCGTATTCAATTTCCAATGCTCCATCCTTCAGCCATTCATATGGATTATCCAAAACGTCAGATATTTTTATACGCTTTCTGGTGAACACTTTGACATTGGCTTCTATTGTATGTTTCCCACGGCTTCTACGCTTTCCAAACCTTTTCAAAAAATTTATGAGAACATAAATTGAAATTCGAGCTTTGTCCTTGGCACAGACGCTTCTTATATATACTCGAAAATGGTCTCCTTCTTGATCTGGAACTCTTTTGAGACCCATGTACCTGGAACTCAATCAATTTTTAGGAACTAAAATCTTTTTTTCTCACCATTGTATGTGAAAAGACTCTCTAATGGTTGTACCCATGTTAATTTCAGTCGGATTATTCAGACGTTCCGGGAAGTTTTCAAAACGGCAAATTCCATTTTTTGCGTCTAGAAAAAGAATTCAGTGATTTTTGGAAAGTATAAAACTTACATTGCTTTGGATCAGCCATCTGAAAGTATCAGAAATTGGTAATTTGAATTGTAATGTTGGAATTTTTTGAACTTCTTGATGTATTCAGGACATTCAATAATTAGAATAATTAAAGTGGTGACACTTCACAATAAAATGTTTAGGAATTCTTTTCGAATAATCGACTTTGAGCTAGATCAAGAGTATCATCAAAATTATTGAATCAAAAAATTGAAACATGTTACTGTAGTTTTGTGTTTTAGTGTTAGTTCATAGCGTAAATTCTCTAATAAAAGTTCATCCTATACGCAAATTTGAGCTCGATTATCTCAGTTCTTATGAGAGATATTAAGAAGCAGTCAACTGATAAAATGTTACTGATAATATCAGAAATATTTTATCAGTGGATCATTTTTTGATATCTTTCACAGGAGCCGAGAAATTTGAGCTCAAACTTGACGATTCGGATGGCATTCGTTCGGAGTATTTACAGTAAGCTCAGCTGACCAAACTACTATTCATTTTATGGTTGTCCCAATATTTTGACTAGACATATTTTTCAATTTTTTCCTATCTGATGTTTGTGCTCAAATTCATTGCTCATATTATTACTCATCCCCGTCTGACCAGACATTAAAACTACAAAGTAGTTGTATTGTCATTTGTTTTTTTCCTCAAAATTGGTATAAAAGAATTGAAATCAGGAGAGGTGGTATTCTATTTCATTTCCTCGTAATTCTTCAAGAGATTAAAAATCGAGGATGACGACGCTCAAGTACTACCTTGGATTTGTTCTCTTCTCTTCTGGAATGTTCGCCATTCTCCTGAATATCATCATTATAATCCCCGTATTTCATTTAGCCTTTGTGAAAAAGACAAGCACAGTTTATATCATTGCGTTTTTTAATATTGTCAGTGATTTTGGCCAGCTGCTCACCACTGGTATCTTTTTCGGAGGCTCCGTCATGGCTAATGTGAGTGTTAACTTTGAACCACTTTATCTTGGTTTCTGCGAAAGAAAGCAAAAAGTGATTAACTGACAAAATGTAGGTGATATTATGATAAGCATTTTTTCAGTTGACCACATTTTGATATCAATTACAGGGACCGAGATAAAGTAGCTCAAAGTCGATGGGGCATGTGATAACATAAAATTTGTGTTCCGCTTACCGTGAACACTACTGTGCCTTCTCCCAAACCGTCCACTTTACGCCCATATATCTCTTTTCCTATGAAAAATATCAAAAAGATGTAAACTGGCAAAATGTTCATCATAATATCTTGAACAATTTGTTAGTTAACCGTTTTCTTATATCTCTAACGGGAACCAAGATAGATTGTCTTAAAAATGGACAGGAGGCATTCTACCACTGGAACTACAGTATCCCTGTACTACTCATATACATTTCAGCACTATATTCTCACCGAAGATCCTAACGATCGTTTGAGTAAAGGAAGTGTTATCATGGCTACCGTATTCATGGCAGCGTGGTACTTAGAAAGTTGGATTCAGATTGTTATGTCTGTCAATCGGTAAAAATAGACCCTTGTTCTGAATACATTTTCCAAGTATTTTCAGTTATGTGGTGATCAAAATGAACCAACACTATATTTTCACATACCGCACTACGATGATCCTCTTTATCTTCCTAGTCCCTATCCCGTGTATTTCGGCATATGTGATGGAATACGTTCTTCCGTGCTGTGTGTAAGTTTACTGTTCATAACTCGGTCCAGATTGGAAATTTTGGTTTGAATTAAAATCTAAAACGTAGAACCCAACGAGATCTACAAAATGTCACCTAATTTGACTGTGTTAAGACCTTTGTTTTGAAAATTGACGCCGTAAAAACCCCAGACGTCTAATGTACAGTGTAGTCTCTGGATCGAAACTCGTCATTCTTACCGTATTTGTTCTCTTCCTATAAGAGATATCAAAAATCTGTCGTCGACTAATAAAATACTGGTAATACTATGATGAATAATTTCAATTTTTAGGTCATGACCTAGATTTCAATGTTTAGCCAATGACTTAGATTTCAATTTTAGGCCATGACCTAGAATTCAATGTTCAGGCCATGACTTAGATTTCAATTTTAGGCCATGACCTAGATTTCAATTCTAGGCAATGACCTAGATTTCAATTTTCAGGTCATCGCCTAGATTTCAATTTTTAGACCATGACCTAGATTCCAGTTTTTTCGTCATGACCTAGATTTCAATTTTTAGGCCATGACTTAGATTTCAATTTTAGGCCATGACCTAGATTTCAATTCTAGGCAATGAACAAGATTTCAATTTTTAGGTCATCGCCTAGATTTCAATTTTTACACCATGACCTAGATTCCAGTTTTTTCGTCATGACCTAAGTTCCAATTTTCAGGCCATGACCTAGATTTCAATTTTTACAGATTCATAACTGATCACCAAGCAATGTCATATGTTCTGGCGCGAATCGAAGGCGAAATCCCCTACACCAACTACATGATAATCGCTCATGGCATCACTTCCCTAGTGGTCTCTGTTTTCTGCTACGGTTCGATATTCCAAAAAATCCGAGAGGCTAGTAGCAGTATGAGCTCAATCACCAGCAATAGCCGTCAAAAACAGGATATTAAGTTAGTTGAAAAACATTTTTATTTAAAGATTATAATCTAAAATTTCCAGATATCTAATTCAATTCCTTTTAATTTCGCTGTTCTTCGTTATGAGTTGGATGCTATTTGAGATTGTCCTAGAGTTGTCCCGAAAGACACTCCAGAATGGTCGATTTGTATTGCATTTCTGGTTGTGCTCAATTGCTCATCAAACGCGTTTATTTATTTGACAGCGAACAAAGAAGTGCAGAAATCGCTGAAATCGATGTATTATCCAACTAAAACGACGACTTCAGTTACCCCGGCAAACGCGCCACATGTGGAATTGTTCTGAAAACGAATTCTCATTTTTCATCATTTTCATTTTGTTATCTGTATAAAAAGCGATCAGAATACAAAAAAATCCTTGTTCATCAGAAAACACACATCAAGATTTTAGTTTGAGCTACATTGTACAAAATATGGAATTACTTTTTTTCGGACAATCCGAGCAGCCTTATTCAGAGAAAAGTTTTTTTCTTTTTTTTTTCAAAAATCAGAAAAGGCCCTATGATTTATTGAGTAAAAAATCGCCACGTCAATGCCACAAATTACCAAATCCCTTAAAATTTTAAAAATTCCAACTTTAAACAATTTCTGTTTCTCTGAAATGGCTGAACCATTGCAATGTAAGAATTCAACTCGTTCCGAATCCTTGATTTCCTTTTATAGACGCAAAAAATGGAAACTGTCGTTTTGAAAACTTCCCAGAATGTCTAAACAATCCGAATGAAATCGCTATGGGTGATATGGATAGAAATTGTATGTACATGAAATGGTGAGGGAAATAATACTTGTTTCGAGAATCAAAATCGAATTTCAGGTTCATGGGTCTTGAAATAGTTCCAGATCCAGAAGGAGACCGTTTTCGAGCATATATAAGGAACGAATTTAGAAATGAAAACGCTCGAATTTCATTTTTTGTTCTTTTCAAATTTTCAAAATTTGGTTGAAGATGTGCAAGTCGTGGGAAACATAAAAAAGGGACTAATGGCACAGTATACAGTGGACGTCGTCTAAAAATATCTGAAATTGTAAATCGTCCAAATGAATGGCTGAATAATGGAGCATTGGAATTAGAATATGGTCTTCATTTGGAAGCTGTTCACTCAAATGATGGAATTTGGAATTTCAATTTTTGTGATAAGCTTTTTAATGTGCGCAGAGATTTGACATTGAAAGTTTTGACGCAATCGGAAACAAGCCGCGATACGGAACTATGGTGCCATAAAGCGGTGAGAATTTTGATGGAAACTTTGATTTTGGAAAAACGATTAAAAAGGTCCCTTGACTATTCTCTTTTTTTTAAACTAAACTTAAGGTTTTCACTTCACACCTAAGTTTTCCAAAATTTTTCAGTTGCTCCAATTCCATTCTCAATATTTTTCTTCCAAATTTTCTGCTGATGATGCGATCCTTTCAAATCGGGTACTCCCTTTAAATAGTGATTTTCGAGCAGATTTGACAGGAATGGCATTACAAATTGCTCATGGTGTCCGTCCGACTCTTACAAGTGAGTGATTAACACCGAATTTTTTGAAAATTCTGAAATTTTGTCTAGTTTTTAGCTCTTGTGAAGTAGTTGAAATCGCTGAAAAACTGAAACTCCGAAATGTGAGTCGATATTGTGAGCGGCAAATGATTGAGTGTGAAGATGCATGACTACTCTTATTTTTTCAACGAATGGGATGATGACAGTTTTTTGACGACAGCTATTAAATACGATTTGAACCATCTTTTGGTATAAACTCAAAAAAATACAACTTCACATCATGCAAAACATCTTCAGGCACATAT